GTGCCACCACATACAGTTTCACAGGTTGTGTACTGCACAATAGGAGCCCCATCTAAGTGGCACTATTTACAGCAGACACCATAGATATGCACATTCCTTATGACAATTTCCTGGAAGGGGGAGTAAAGTTTCCTATTCTAAAGAAGTCTGTATTTCTTAACAATTTTCTGACAAATAGACGCAAAGTGTCTTGAGGAAAGGTATCTTTTTCTAAATCACACAAATCTGCCCTATGGGCTAGTGGTGGTAAACTAGCCCTTCCGGTTTCTTTCCCTTGAATTGTAAATGGAACCTAGATTCCAACCATGCGCTGTGGTTTTATTTGGCCTTTTCATGGCTCAACTGCATCTGCTTCAAGCAGTTAACATCCTCTCTCTGTCTCTCCTCCTATCCCATGTGATTCATCTTCCCTACGTAGCCCATCCCCGTCCCTCCCAGACCTGAATCTACCAACATGGTCTTTCTTTATATCACAACAGATCACTTTTTCTGGTTAATCTCATTTTTCCAAAATTCAAACACAGCTCTAGGGCTGTCCATTGTACAAACATGTCAGATCCCATGATCCAAGAAGGCCTCCAACCAGAAACTGTATTTATGGAGCCACCCTTATTCTGCCATATCTCCCTGGAATGGTTCCGGAAGCCTTCTAAACATCAATTCTTAAAACTATTAACTTGTATATTGCTCACACAGAAATATAAGTCACTCTGAGTCATAGTTGGCTCCAGCTCCATCAAAAGTCAACCCTAGGGTCAATGTGGACTGTAGTTAAATTGCCACCATAACAAGCACCACTACAAAATTAACTCTAAGTAGCTCGTGGTTTCACCCTCAAAATCATTCTAATTCTGTTCGGTAAGAAACTTCATGTAAAACCAGGAAAACGGCTGTGCAAAAGTATACAAAGCTCTTTCAAAAGAGTGGCTACCTCTGCAGAGAAAAGAGGCAGGGGCTGGAGGCGGGCAGGGGGACGGGGGTGCTCAGGGTTGCAGGGGGAGCTGTTCTCTGTGACACCGCAGATCTTTTTAACAGAATCTCAAACAAGGATGGCAACATGGTAACATGTTAAATGTGTGTGGTGAGTAGAGGCTATCTGTTACACTATCTTCTGCTCTTTGAATGGTTGAAATATGCCATAATTAACATTTAAAAACTTTTAGAGGACGTTTTTTATGCTCTTTGGCTGAAGGTCATATTCTAATTATTCATCAGAGAAGCTTTAGGGCATTCTTTGATGAACCCAAAGTAATCAAGTTCTGACCTGGCCGTACCTGTCTCCACGGTACAGTGATCATGAATATAGCTGCTGGTGGGACTTGGAAGGTGTCCTACTTCCACTGGATCAGTGCTGTCATGGCAAAAGGCAGTGCCAAGGCCAGGGCAATGTACAGAGGACCCACAGGGTATTGATGTGGCCCTCCATCGGTGCCTTTGCTCTCCCCCCCGCCAACCCCCGTCCCTGTCCCCATTGCTAAAGACTTCCACCAGAGTCTGCTTCTGCCCCCTTGGGAGAAAGGAGGTGTGTTTGAAATGATGTATCTATTCTGCCACCTAGCCTTCAGCCCCATCACTACAACAGAGCTGCCTTACACCATTCTGCAGAGACCCCAGTCTGGCTGAACTTCCCTTATCTGGGGAGGGACCTGATCAACCAGGTGCTTTATTTCTTAAAGGTGACCGTACCTTAGTTTTAATCTAAGATGAAGTGGCAGCATTTAGTACGTCCAATGTGTGCTGGTCTCTGGAAAAGGGACTGATGTCAATCTCATAAGATATTTAAAACAGAGTAATTACTCACTGCAGGGAATGGTTTCAGCAAGTCTGTCTAAGGCAGTGAGGAAAGTAATGCAAAGGAAAAGAATGAAGACAAGACCCTTAGCTGACATTTTTCCTTTCCAACCAGAGGAACCCATGATACTTTATGTCCTATTAAAAGTCCAGCTTTCCCAAACCATGTTATCAGGTGTCATCCTTGCCTTGAAAATCACTTAGAAACTCAAGAGAAAATGATCAAGCTTTATAAAACAAAAATGTTAGTCGCCCTTTGAAAAGTTGTCCATATAAAAGCATAAATCTTTTATCCGGTTGCATTTCTTGAAAATTGGTTTTGCTGTGCAGTTAGTTTTTTAAAGGAATGGTGAGGAGTGATCTCTAGGGGATGAGACACAAGTGGATAATATTTAACTTCTTAACTTCTCCAAGAAAAATGTGGTTGGAAGGCATCAAAACTCGGGCATGCCAGGGTGGGAAGCAGAGTTGGGAAGCTCATGGCAGGGAAAACGAGTCAGCAATAAATGAGGGAAGGGAACCTGGCTTCTGACGTTTGCATCTGGCAGGAATAAATGAGCCCCTCCTAACTAAATTCATTGATGCAAACTATTTTTTTTTCCAGAAGCAATCTTCTAAAGGTGATTGTGAACACATCTAGGTCTACAGAGTGGAGGGGAGGAGGGAAAGAGAATGGAGAAAGGCCCACAGGCATGCCCCATAATCCAACATCATGTACCAGAACTTCTCCTCCACTATCTTATGTTGCCTGTGGACTCGTGCAAGCAAGCCCATCTGGCCAGTCCTGTCTTTGGACCAAACCACTGTAGACAGCCCCAGGCTACTGAGAATTCTTTGTCTTGTGTTTTCAGAAGCCTACCCACGGTCCCTGGAAGAGAAGCTCTGTCCTATCAGCTCTCATCCCCTCATGACAAGCTCATTTCTAAGCAGACACATGGAATGTTCACTTAACATTTACAGAGCTGCAGAGCATGCGCTCTCCATGGCCCCTCTGCACCCTACCCCAAGGACCAGCCTCAGCCACCACCACCTCCTCCTTCTCTCCACAGGCTTTCTGTCTGTCTTCTCCATGAATCATCCCCCTCTTCCTTCTACCTGTCCTCACACATTTTATTTTCCAGCCACTGGAAGTTGGCTAGACAAAAAGACATGTCACTGGAGGCTGTCTCTCTCAGAACTCAGGTTTCTCTGGAAGGAGCACCACAATTTCCCCATTCATCTTAAACGCTACCAGCGTGCTTGGAGTCAGCTTTGCTGCTGAGTTGGTGCAGAAATAGGAGCAGGGGTCAGAACACACACCGCACACTGTTGGGCCACTCTTCTAGTCTGAACTTGACACAAAAGGGAAAATAACATGATTTCCCTGGCTCCTGAAATATTTCAACCAAACTTTTTGAATGCTCATTCTCCCCCTGCCTTTCCAAGCCCCCAGACAGAGGGGAGAAGCCATGCAAACAGGTCTTGCAGTTTGGGTTTTTTTTTTGTGGGGGGGGGAGTGTTTTTTGTTTTTAATCACTAAGCACAACTCCTCCTCCCTCTCCCAGCCAACACCTAAAACCCCTCTGGCAATACAAACAAAAGCACAACTTTAAGCTTTAGCCTCCTTTTAAAATGTGCCTTTCAGCAAACAGATAAGCAAGTAGAAAGATCAGGATCTGGGAATGTTAACAGCATACAGTGAGATGCTCCTGAACCAAAGCAGCAAGAGAAATATTTTCTTAAAAGCAGTCCTACAGAAAGAATTCTTATCATAGATAAGGGTGCAGTCTAGTGGCAAACTTCATGAAATGCAGCCCCTTTTTTTCCAAAGGAAAGGGAGAGCACTTCTAAAGAGATGAAGGAAATGTAAAAGGGGTGAATCCCACCCCAGGCCGTCCCAAATGGGGCGGGCAAGGAGGAGTCATTTCTCTCTGAACCGGCTGTGAAGTCCACAGCCTAGCCATGTGGATTTCAGAAACAAAGGGAAATCACCACCTTCCTTCCTTTAAGACTTTAGCTTTCTTTCATTTTACTAAGGAAAGAAGGGATCCTATAGTGTTTGAAGAGGTTGCCTGAGGTTTCGAATAGAATAATAATGTCCCTGGTCAGGATCTCTTCTGAGCAAGTCCTCTGGCCCTGTCAGCTCTCAGTCCTGAGATGTACCTGTGCATGCCAGTCAACCTTAGAACAAGGTGCTCCTCTGGTCTGTCACCCATTCCCTCCAGAGATGTGGCCCTATCCAATAGAAATGCTCCAGTAAAAGAATATGAAGGGAACATATCGCTCCAATCTGCCTTCCTTCCATCCCAAAACTCCACACCAGGACACATTAGGTCACCAGGCAAGATTTTCAGACTTAGCATCTTCTGGAAAGCGCTAGTCTCTGTAAGTCACTGCTCCCTACAATGCTGTTGAATGAATATCCCTTCCCACAAGTACACACAACACAGATACCCACAAGCTTGAGTAAGTGTGCAGGCATGTGTGTGTACACACACACACACACACACACAGCTCACTGGGCCAACAATGAAACTGAAGTGGCCACTTCTTGATCATATGACCAAAGACAGTCACTCCACACTCCACTGGCAAGAAAAATGCTCTTAATTAAATCCCCTTCCCCAGACCTTTAGGGGGAAAATCCAGTTTTGCTTTGCCTTTTTTTTTTTTCTTTCAAATTCAGCCTCACTACCCTCAGCTGGCCATCCTATGCTAACACTCCCCTTCAAACACACACACACACACCCTCACATAGTAACTTAGACACTAGCAGACAGCCATTTCCCAAAGCTTGGGAAGAACTGTTTGGGTACTGTATATATCCACTTGGCTAGTAAGAAAATGCTTCTCCCTGCAGCCTGGGCCTTGGCTAGTTAAGGGGTGGGAGGGAGGGGGAGACCGCGTTACTCTTCATTGTGTCCACCAGCTCCTCGAATTCTCCCTTCCACTCGCGCCCCCCACCGACCCCCCCCCTTGTAGGCAGCCCAGCCCTGTCCCCCAAGCCCCTTTCTTACATTCCGGGGGGAGGGGGGCACTGTTCCGGGAGCGCAGGGGAGCCCCCGTGCGTCTAGAAGGCCTCTCCCCACCCCCACCCCGTGTGAGTTTGTACTGCAAAGCTCCTTGGCATCCTCGCCTGGGTTGGGTGTTGGGGAGCTCAAATAGCAGCTACAAACTGGCTGGCGGCCAGGGGCCGTCTATTTAAAAGCGCCTGCTCCACCGGAGCCCGTAGTCTCTTTGGAAACTTCTGCCGGGGGGAAAAGAGCTAGGAAAGAGGGGCAAATCGGTGTGGGGTTTTTTTCTCTTTTCTTGCTTCTTTGAATTACCCCCTCTTCCGTTTGCACCCTTCTTCGAGCTTCACGCAGAACCTGCGGATTTCGAAGAGGTGCTGGCAGAGTGGGAGCAAAGAGGTGTTAGGGTTTGGGATTTGGGGGCTTTTTTTTAAATTTCTTGATTTCTACGTTTTCCCCCACTCTCGCGGCCACCGCCGCCGCCTCTTACCTGTTCCTCGGCAGCCGCGCGCTGCAGGCAGCTGAAGGTTAGAAAGGAGCAGGGTGCATTTTAGATCTTAAACAAAATTTTTGAAGACAGACCCGTTCTTTTTCTCCCCCCACCCCCTTCTCCTCCACAGCCTCCGAGCTCATTATTCCGGTGGTTGCTTCGGGGTGAACAATTTTTGGCTTTTTCCTCCCTGTAATTCTGAGCAGGTCTGGCCGGGGGGGTTGTTTCTCCGGCTTCCACTCCCTCCGCGTGCACCTGGCGCTGCTCTTTCCCCCCCAACCTGTTGCAAGTCCTTTAATCCTTGCAATTGGGACTTGCTTGCAGGCACCTCAGCCCTCCATCTCTCCCTACGTTTTGCAATTGTCTGGGGGAGGGCACCTGCTCTACCTGCCAGAAAAAAAATTTTTTTAATTTCTCCGGGCGCCCTCTTGGTCCCTTTCTCCCTACACGCTCGCTCTCGTGCCCCGCCCCAAGGTAAAGGGGAAGACTCGGAGAAGATGGTGCTCACCGCGGTCCTCCTGCTGCTGGCCTCCTGTGCGGGGCCGGCCCAGGGCCTGGGCTCCTTCGTGCACTGCGAGCCCTGCGACGAGAAAGCCCTCTCCATGTGCCCCCCCAGCCCCCTGGGCTGCGAGCTGGTGAAAGAGCCGGGCTGCGGTTGCTGCATGACTTGCGCCCTGGCCGAGGGGCAGTCGTGCGGCGTCTACACTGAGCGCTGCGCCCAGGGGCTTCGCTGCCTCCCCCGGCAGGACGAGGAGAAGCCGCTGCACGCCCTGCTGCACGGCCGCGGGGTTTGCCTCAACGAAAAGAGCTACCGCGAGCAAGCCAAGATCGGTGAGCGCGCTCAGTGTGCCAGTCAGTTATACGGCGCACGGCCGGGGGACAGGGGACAGGCTGGCCCCGCGCGCTTGGCCCAGCAAGTGGCTTGGAGCCGGGGTGTAGCCCGGGAGGAGGGCGGGGAGGGTCCTTGCACTTCGGAATTGGAGCCAGGCGGATCCAGCTACCCCGGGGCTGCTTTCTTAGCCGAGCCTCTCCCTCTCGCGGCTTTCGCTCCTTCTCCTCGCCCCTACCCCCACCCTTCCCTACCCTCCCCCTCCCCCTCCGTCTGCATACTGACTCTGAGCTGCTTTCGGTCTCCAGGTCCAAACCCCCAGGTACTCAATTCCCAGTCTGAGAAGGCGCATGTTACATTATCAACTCCCTCCTCCACCCACCCTATACGGTTTTTTTCTGAACTTGAAAAAAAAAAAAATCTCTTTGTTAAAATACTGCTTTAACTAGGGACCTGGAGAGAGAGGCGTTACCGGTCTTCTGTGGTAATTCCACCTTTGTCCCTCCCAGCCTCTGCCCCTGCCCCCCACCAGTCGGTCCTGGCGAGTCTTTCCCTCTACCCCCACACGCACTCGCGCGCACAAACACGCACCAACGCTTGAAAGCTAACGCCTTTAGGGTGGGGGCTTTGATGCCCCTCCCACGTGCACACCCATTGCTCTTGACTCGGTGTGATTGTTTGTGGCACAGGGTAAAACATTAAAATGCAAAATACCTTTTTTCCTTCCAGGAAGGGAAAAATTACTTTAGCACTCTCGGCGGCGGTGGGGAGGCGCGGGGTGCGGGGGACGAGGGGGAGCGGGGAGAAATGGGAAAGAAGGGTTTCCGTTCCCCTGTTGAGTGTTCGTCCCTGAATCTAATTCCTTTTTCCCCCGCCCCAGTTCAGATTTTACCTAGGAGGAAAGGTGGATATAGGGGCAAGAAGGGATGTAGAACTCAGACATCACAACTTCCCCGCCAGTGCTAATCTCCGCACCACCACCACCACCACCTCAATCTTTCAAACCGGATCACAAGTGGGTGTGGTGTAAATGCAAGAGGGGCCCAGGAAACACAGAATGCAAAATCAACTGGGCGGAGACCGAAAAGCCGCGCTCCGGGAGCCTCCCCACCGCCTCCAAGTAGCCCCGCCCCCGGGTGTCCCCGCCCCCAAATTCTCTGCTTCTCGAGTCTAAGGTTTAAACGGTTGATAGAGCTCCTTGTTCTGATCAGAACAGTTCCGCCCGCGTTCCTTAGAATGTGTTTCTTTTTAGACTTACCTGATCTTACCTTTTTTTTTTAAGTCTAATGAGCTGTACACAAAACTCTGGGCTCTGAAACGTCAACCTTTTATTAATCCTCTCCTAAAGGGGTTAAGACTTAGCTAAATAACGTTTTTTAGTGTAGTTTTTCATGAGGCAATGTCCTTTCTCCCTCCTACCCCGTCCATTAGGGCACCCCAATATGAGTTTTCGTAACTACAAACTACACACTATCACGTAGGATACGAGTGCGTCAGCGCTTGAGAAGCGGCAAAACTTTTCCTGGGTCCAACCTGGATCCCCGCAAACCTTGCAGGGTTTGCCTGTCGCCTGCGGCCGCCGCCCACTTTGAGAGAGGCAGTGGTCCTCCGGATTACAGCCTGAAAAAAAGGAACGGAGTGCAACGCGCAGGCCCCAGAGGCCCTGGAGGCCGGTTTGTGGAGTTATTTTTATTAAGAGCCACTTTTCAAAGGCGGTCCTGGCCGCCCTCATCTTGGGGGATGTGGATTTGGAAAAGCTTAGCAGGGCGGAGGGGGGCGGGGGGAGGAGTGGAGAAAAGGTATGAATCGATTTCCTGGCTTGGAAGAGAGCGCTCTGGGTAATAATCCGGTCACATCGAAAGTATGCAAGGTATCACTCAGCCGCTTTCTGGACCGGCTTTTATTTGCCCAACTGTGTGGTTGGTGTGATGTGGTTGGTGGGGAGGGTGTGCGCGCAGGGCGCGCGCGCGCGCAATTGCTTGGAAGAGCAAATTGGCTCATCATCCAACTTTCCAGTTCAACGTAACACACACACACACACACACACACACACACCGGCTTTTTTCCCGAGCAAGATGTCCTTTAGACTTCTGCTGCCCATTCCTCAACCCCCACCTTCAAGATGCCTCCTGGCGAACACGTAGTTGCCTCCCCGCCCCACCCCACACTTTCTTGGCGACTCCACCCCGCCTTTGGCAGGTGCCTGACCGACCACGGTTGCAGGATGGCTGCAAGAGCTGACCCCTTCCTCCCGGAAGATAGTATGGTAGTGGGCGCTCCGGGCTCGAGTCCTTCAACTCGAAAACCGTTGAGTAGGTCCCCAAAAAGTTGGAGATGGTGCAGAGACGGTTCATAAAGAGAGGGAAATGAACAGAGAGAGGGAGGAGAGTGTCGGCTCTCTTGACCAAAAGTCCTGCTCCCCAACACCCCACCACCATGTCCCCCTACCAAAGTCAGCAGTGAGAAGTTGGATTTGCCTCTCTCTCCTGCGGTTGCCATACAGATATAGATACGGATAGGGATGATATATGCATATATATACGCACACATAAGTCAAAAGATATATGCGTATATAAAGAAAGATATATAGATACGTATCTTTTTCTAACCAAAAGAAAAAGTGCATTTCCAGAATCCGAAACGGGGAGCCGAGGAGAGCGAGGTGGCAGGCAGCCAAAGCTGCTGGGAGGAAGAGCTGAGGACCGGCGGGCGGAGACTGGTGTTTTGCTGGGCGCGTTGCTGAGCAACCGGAGAGCGAGTCCGCCCGCTAACTGGGTGCTGGGAGCGCGCCGAGCCCTGCATTTTATTTTGGCCAGTTCTGGGGCAAAGATAGATATAGAAACAGGGCAGTGTGTGTGAGGCTGGAAGGAGGCGGGAGACTGGAGTTATTTATTGAGCCAAGCTCAGTAAATATGGGTGAGCTGGGTCCAGTCAAGGAAGCACCGGGCTTTGCTTGGGCATTGTTTGCAGAAGGACCCTTGTGGCTTGCTGGGCAGGAGGGCGAAGTACTACTTGCCCGGTTCTGGGAGATCTCTCCTGAGCCCGTGAGACGTAAAGCTTGGGATACAGGGAGAAATGGGTTCTGAGTTTCAGTTCTGTCACTGAGAAATAAGAGAGAGGACAGAAAGTACACTCTGGGAACGAAAAAATATTACCTAAATAAAAATGAATTAGGCCTTTGCTTCTTTGAGGGGTTTGGCGTCCATCACCCTGGCATCCACTCCAAGCCTGGTCCAAATGCCATGTTGAAGTCACGTTCCAGAGTTAGGTTTATTGGCCAAATTTGTGTCTGGGTTGAACAAGCTCATGGAAAACCAAAGGAGCCAGATTCCTTTCCCACCTGCACCCCATCCCTTTGAAATAAGTCTCTGAGAGGCTGGCTGTGCCGAGCCAACCAAAGTGGGAGCAGGGAAGATGAGAGACCGAGAAGGTGCTTTTAACTTGACTTTTCTTGCCTCCTGCCCCCTCTTTCTCCTGTGTCAGCTCAGACTGGAAGGGCAAGGACAGTTGGCCACAGTGAGAGCTCATTTTCTTTCCATATTTCTCTTTTCTTCTCCCTCCCTCCCACTCCCCCACCCCTTCTCCATCCCCTAGCTCCAGGGCATTCCCTGAGGGCTCGAGTTTTAGGCCAGAGCTGCTGCCAGTTAGTGCTGGGGCTTGGTTTAGATCTGAAGGGCAGGTGGGTTTGCAGCTGCAGAGGGAGGACCCGGCTGACCTAGGAGGCGGAGGTCACCATGAGGGTTACAGCAAAGGGTATGGGAGCAGGAATCCCAGCAGAAGCCCTGGTCCCCTTAAGGGGTGGGGGGAGGGGGCTAGCAGGAAAGGAAGGTGATTTTTGTCTGTAGTTTTTACCTTGTACCTGAGCAATGCCTTTGAAACTTTGGGTTATTTAATGCGTAGAACATAGAATTCTGGAGGAGGGATCCACATACTCTGAGCCCACTGCATCCAGAAACTGGAAGAACTCCATAAACAGACCAGGTACCAGTGAGGGACCGACAGGGAGCAGAAGTGAACAGGGTGGGAGAACAGATGTGGTGAGAGATGAGGAGGCAATGTGGAGGGGTTTTGTTTGAGTTTTTGTTTTGCATTTTTACTATGTTGGTCCAAAAGTTGCAATCCCCAGAGAGCATCCTTAAATGGCAATCTGGATATGTTTTCCAAAACAATGGGATTTGTTACATATTTGCAAAAATAAATAAAGAAATAAACAAGGAAGCCTGTTCTAAGCTTCTACTCCCCACTGCCCCATATCCAGAGGATCTCCTACTTTTGTTTCCAGTTCCATTTTTTTCCACGATTTCCATTATGATGCCTTTTTTTTTTTTTTCCACATAAATCCAGAGGAGCTACTGAAAACCTCTATGAGAGACAAAGTGGCTTTTCCTACCTGGCCACTTGGCTCAGCTCAGTCCTAGTGTCTCCCCAGGAATGGTCTAGGTATTAGCCAAAGACTGTTAATACTGGAAAGAACCCACAGATCATAGCACTCAAAGCGACCGTTTTACAGATGAGAACACTGAGGCGGAGAGTGCAGAGTTACTTGTCCAAAATTAGGTGCAGGATTAGCAGCAGAGTCAGGGCTAGGACTCAGTCTTACCGTCCTCTCGATTCCACACCCATGCCCCATCCCGGCCTTTCTTCACTAGTCACTAGGGCTCTCGCCGGGGCCCAGCCTAACTTGCCAGGAGGCCTTCAGCAAATATGGCCCAATGCTGTCTTCCCATAGTGGGGGTTGTGAAGATGAACTGGGGGCTCAGAACTTGGGAGTGCTGTCTTTTAAAGGAAGAAGTAACTTGGCCCCAAAGTGGAGAATGCAACACCCTTTTTATTTTCAATCACACTCTGTTGCATCCCTTTTCCTACACGGTCTTGGAAGCAAGACTGGCTTAGGCTAGTGGTTTAGTGAGGGATGGGGACAAGGAGGGTGGACAGGGATGGTGCTGAGCCCAGGCTTCGGGTCCATGTACTAAACCTCCTTTCCTGAACTGCAGGGAGCTCT